GGTAGAGGAGGGTGAATAGAGGTGAGGAGGAGTGAAGAGGGAGGTGAATAGGGTGAAAGGAGGTGAATAGAGATGAGTGGGAGGGGTGAATAGAGGAGAGGTGAATGGGGTGAGGGAGATTGAATAGGAGAGGAGGGTGAATAGAGAAGAGGAGCGGTGAATAGGGTGAGGAGGGTGAAAAGGTGAAGGAGGTGAATAGGGGTGAGAGGGTGAGAGGAGAGTGAAATAGGTGGGGAGGTGAATAGGGTGAGAGGGAGGGTGAATAGGGAGGGAGGTGAATAGGGAGAGGAGGGTGAATAGGGGAGAGGGAGGTGAATAGGGTAGAGGAGGGTGAATAGGGAGGGAGGGTGAATAGGGTGAGAGGAGGTGAATAGAGAGGGGGGTGAATAGGGTGAGAGGAGGGTGAATAGGGTGGGGAGGGTGAATAGGGAGGGAGGGTGAATAGGGTGAGAGGGAGGGTGAATGGGGAGGAGGGTGAATGGGGAGGGAGGTGAATAGGGAGAGGAGGGTGAATGGTGAGAGGAGGGTGAGGGAGGGTGAATGGGTGAGAGGGAGGAATAGAGTGAGGAGGGTGAATAGTGAGGGGTGATGGGTGAGGTGAATAGGGTGAGGGAGGGTGATGGGGGAGGGGTGAATAGGGAGGGTGAATAGGGTGAGAGGGAGGGTGGATGGGAGGGAGGGTGAATAGGGTGAAGGAGGGTGAATAGGGTGAGAGGAGGGGTGAATAGGGTGAGAGGAGGGTGAATAGGGTGAGGAGGGTGAATAGGGAGGGAGGTGGAATAGGGTGGAGGATGGTGAATAGGGTGAGAGGGAGGGTGAATAGGGTGAGAGGAGGGTGAATAGGGTGAGAGGGAGGTGAGTAGGGGAGAGGGAGGTGAATAGGAGAGGAGGGTGAATAGGGGAGAGGGGAGGTGAATAGGGGAGAGGAGGGTGAATAGGGTGAGAGGAGGGTGAATGGGGGAGGAGGGTGAATAGGGTGAGGAGGGTGAATAGGGGAGGGAGGGTGAATAGGGTGAGAGGGAGGGAGAATAGGGTGAGAGGAGGGTGAATAGGGATGAGAGGGAGGGTGAACAGGGGAGGAGTGAATAGGGAGAGGGGGGTGAATAGGGAGAGGAGGGTGAATAGGGGAGAGGAGGGTGAGGGAGAGGGAGGGTGAATAGGGTGAGAGGGAGGTGAATAGGGAGAGGAGGGTGAATAGGGTGGGAAGGGACAGTGAATAGGGTGAGAGGAGGTGAATAGGGTGAGAGGGACGGTGAATAGGGTGAGAGGGAGGGTGAATAGGGTGAGAGGGAGGGTGAATAGGGTGGGGGGGTTCACCTCCTTCCTCAGTTACGTTAGATTTTATTAGATTAAGGTAGGTTGGGTTAAGGTAGGTTAGGTTAGGTTAGGTTGTGTTAAGTCAGAATAGGTGTTGTGTTTGGTTAAGTTGGGTTAGATTAAGGTGGGTTAGGTTGGTTAGGTTGTGTTAGGTCAGATTAGGTGTTATGTTTGGGTTGGTTAGGTTAGATTAAGGTAGGTTAGGTTAGGTTAGGTTAGGTTGTGTTAAGTCAGAATAGGTGTTATGTTGGTTATGTTAGGTTAGATTACGGCTGGTTGGGTTGGGTAATTTTCATGTTATTTTGGACATTAATTTCGTTTGACAGCACCAAAAAATGTTCATGTCAAGAAATGATTCATCTTGTGTTATTGCCTGGTGAAACACGTCATCTGTCTTGAGGCGATATAGTGTTCCTTGAGGACATCTTGCGCTTGTGTGTGTGTGTGTGTAAATCAGTCAATTAATGTTTGTTTACCTGCGGTGAGTAATTACGTATATCTTACCTGTAATTACCTGCCTTATCGTCCTGCGCGTGTTGCTAATCAACCTCGGATGTTATCAAGTCTTCATACACCTTCAACTATATTTTTCTTGTTAGTGAGATTATTAAGGGTGATTTCTCGCTTTACTAATTATTCTTCGTTGAGGATTGAGATAATGTGATAACAGCCTTTATTATCGTGTTATCTCTTGGTTATCGTAGACCTGCCCTCACTCGTCATAACTTATTATCGTGTTATCTCTTGGTTATCGTAGACCTGCCTGCCTCACCGTCATAACTTTAGCACCTTCCTCTTTTCACCAGCCACCCTACCTGTCGAGACTGACAATCAACGGTGCAGCTGCTGGCATACGTGGGTTCTGACTTCCTACTGGCTAGCTGGTTGACGACGCCCCACTGCAGGTCAAGCACACGTAAACACAACCAGGTTAGCGTGTGAGTTCGGCTCTTCTCTCCCTCTCCTCACTTTATCCCTCCCTAACCTCTCTCACACTGGTACTTGACAGGTGGTGGGCTCACCTTCATCAGTCCTGGCCTCCCTCCTCTAAACCTCCAACATTGTCTGGGTCCGTTTCAATTACTTGCTCAGTGGGTCAGCATACCTCAGTAGAACAGAGTTGTAATATACCGGTTTTTATGTGAAGTCTTCGGTCGTCTGTTGCTGGCTGGAATAAACAATAATGGTCGTTATATATCACCCCTCAGGTCCTGGTTAAGACGCCTCGAGGACCTGTACCAGTAACTGATATTGTTTTTTTTTTTCCGTAGAATGTTTGTAGGCGGAAACCTTTATCTGGGGGGACCTGTGTATTAGGGAAGGACCTGTACGAGGGAGGACCTGTAGGAGGGAGGACCTTACTGTACGAGGAAGGACCTGTAGGAGGGAGGACCTGTGGGGAAGGACCTATGGGGTGGGAAGGACCTGTAAGGGGAAGGACCTATAAGGAAGGACCTGTAGGGAGGGAGGACACTTGGAGGAGGAAGGACCTGTAGAGGGAGGACCTGTGGAGGGGAAGGACCTATAGAGGGAAGGACAGGAGGAGGACCTGTAGGAGGGAGGACGTGTAGGAGGGAAGGACTGTAGGAGGAAGGACCAGTAGGGAGGGAAGGACGTGTAGGGAGGGAAGGACCTGTAGGAGGGATCCAGGTATATGTGAGGTTCTAATATAAGGTTGACTGTGTGCTCTAGGAGGAGGAGGAGGTGGTGGGCTGGCCTGCCGGAAATACTTTGTACGTGTGTGTGTGTGTGTGTGTGTGTGAACTTTTGTAGTATATATGTCTACATACGTATTTGAGTGTGTACTTATATTAAGCATTGACACACACACACACACAACTATGGCCCGTGACGTTATAGATCAGTTGACTTTGTTTACATAGAAGTCCACACTACCACACACACACACACACACACACACAGCCTACGTGTTATGGCCGTGACGTTATAGATCACACACCTACACTCACCCTAACCTTGACTCATTGTTTTTTATACAGACTTACCAGAGAGTCCAACAGATATTTGTCATGACCAGACAAGATATTACTTTACTTAATTAACTAATCATGCAGGAATATATAATCGTACCTAAATCAAATAATTATACACTACCTAAACTTACAGATTTATTTTAAGGAGAAAATAATATTTGGATTTAATTATATAATATATAGATATCAGATATATATAAATTAACGTTAATAAATATAAAGGATTTAGGGATTTAATAGTAATTAAGGGGTAAAAATAATTTATAGTTTTAATAATAAAACTGGATGGAAAATTACGGACATCAGGAATCATATAATAACATAAATACTGAAATATTCACATTAAAACCATAAGGGGTGTTTGGGAGAGTGTGGGGTGTTGGAGAGTGTGGGTGTTTGGGGAGAGTGTGGGGTGTTGGGGAGAGTGTGTTTGCAGAGTGTGGGGTGTTTGAAGAGAGTGTGGGGTGCCCAGAGAGGGGTTGCAGAGTGCTGCGTTCAGAGCGTGGTATTCAGACATGTGGGTCCAGAGATGGTTCGGAGAGCAAGGCCCAGAGGTGTGGGGGATTCAGAGTGTGAAGGCCCAGAGTCCATGTTCAGATATGGGGGGCGTCTAAGACATGTTGCCCAGATATGTGCGTCTAAAGACATGCGGGTGTGATATGCGGTATTCAGATGCGGTATTCAGATGATGCGGTGTCTGGGGGGGTGTCAGTATGCGGGGCGTCTAAAGATATGTGCGCCTGGGGACATGCAAGTCTGTATGCGCGATGATATGCGGTCGCAGGATATGCGCGGTCCAGACATGGGGCGTCTAAAGATATTGTGGCGTCGAGAACGTGCGCCCAGACATGCGATGGCCAGTGTGCGGAGATATGGGATTATTTTGCGGTCCAGACATATGATATGTTCAGAGTGCATGGCTCCAGACATGTGAGTGTCCAGACATCCCAGGGCTCCAGAGAGCGTGAAGGCTCAGAGAGTGTGGGTGCCCAGAGAGTGTAAGGGCGATGAGTGTGGGGAGCCCAGAGCGTGGTATTCAGATATGGTATTCAGGCAAGTGTCTGGGACATGGTGTGCCCAGAGTGTGTGCTCCAGACTGCGGGGTGTCAGACATGGGGTCCAGAAAAGTGATCAGAAGTGGCCTGAGATATGCGGGGTGCTCAAGACAGGTGGGGCGTCTAAAGAGTGTGCGCTCTGAGTGGCAAGTGCCAGATGTGATGCCCAGACATGTGCGCTCCAAAGATGCAAGGCCCAGATATGCGTCCAAAGATGTGATAGCTCGAGACATCAGCGCTCAGATATGTAGGTGGGGTGCTCTGGGGAGAGTGCAATGTTTAGCAGGAGGTTTGGGGAGTGAGGGATGTTGCAGGTGTGTGATGTTTGGGGAGAGTGTGTGCTCAGAGAGTGGGGTGTCCAGAGAGTGGGTGTTTACGGTGTTACGAGTTGGGGGGCAGTGGTTGGGGCAGTGGCTGGGGGCAGTGGCTGGGGCAGTGGCTGAGGGGCAGGTTGAGGGGCAGTGGTCAGGAGGCAGTGGTTTGGGGTAGTGGAAGGAGGGGTAGTGGCTGAGGGGCAGTGGCTGAGGGGTAGTGGTTGTGGGGTAGTGGTTGTGGGGTGTGGTTCTGGGGGTAGTGGTTCTGGGGGTAGTGGTTCTGGGGCAGTGGCTGAGGGGCAGTGGCTGTAAGGCAGTGGTTAAAGGCAGTGGCTGAGGGCAGTGGCTCTGGGGCAGGTTTGGGGCAGGTGGTTGAGGGCAGTGGTTGTAAGGCAGTGGCTAGGGGCAGGCTGAGGGCAGTGGCTGTGGGAGTGGCTGAGGGGCAGTGGCTGAGGGCAGTGGCTGAGGCAGTGGTCAAGGCAGTGGCTGAGGGGTAGTGCAGGGGGCAGTGGCTGAGGGGCAGTGGCTGGGGGCAGTGGTTGAGGGGCAGTGGCTGTGGGCAGTGGCTGAGGGGTAGTGGTTCTGGGGGGCAGTGGTTCTGGGGGAGTGGTTGAGGCAGTGGTTGAGGGCAGTGGCCAGGGGGAGTGGTTGTAAGGTAGTGGCTGTAAGGCAGTGGCTGAGGGGTAGTGGTTGGGGGCAGTGGTTGAGGGGCAGTGGTTGTGGGGCAGTGGCTGAGGGTAGTGGCTGAGGCAGTGGTTATGAGGCAGTGGTTGTGGGGCAGTGGTTGAGGGGTAGTGGTTCTGGGGTAGTGGCTGAGGGGTAGTGGTTGTAAGGTGCAGTGGTTGGGGGAAGTGGGTTGTAAGGCAGTGGCTGACGGGCAGTGGCTGACGGGCAGTGGCTGTGGGGCAGGTGGCTGTGGGGCAGTGGCTGAGGGGCATGGCTGAGGGCAGTGGCTGAGGTGCAGTGGCTGAGGGGGTGTGGTCCTGGGGTGGCGGTTGAGGGCAGTGGTTATAAGGCAGTGGCTGAGGGGCAGTGGCTATAGGGGTAGTGGCTGAGGGGTAGTGGCTGGAGGGGTAGTGGTTGTGGGCAGTGGCTGAGGGGTAGTGGTTTGGGGCAGTGGCTGAGGGGCAGGTTGCCTGTGGGGCAGTGGCTGAGGGCAGTGGTTGAGGGGTAGGGGTTGGGGCAGGGCTGAGGGCAGTGGGGCAGGTCTGGGGGTAGTGGCTGAGGGGCAGGGTTGAGGGGCAGTGGCTGAGGAGCAGGGCTGAGGGAAGTGTTGGGGTAGTGGCTGGAGGGGTGCAGTGGAGGAGGGGTAGTGGCTTGGGGTAGTGGTTGAGGGGTAGTGGTTGAGGGGTAGTGGCTGAGGGGTTGAGGGGCAGTGGTTTGGGGTAGTGGCTGAGGGGTGGTGGTAGTGGCTGAGGGCAGTGGTTGGAGGGGCAGTGGCTGAGGGGTAGTGGGGTGAGGGGGTAGTGCTGAGGGGCAGTGGTTGAGGGGTAGTGGTTGAGGGGTGGTGGCTGAGGGCAGTGGTTGTGGGCAGTGGCTTGAGGGGCAGGTGGCTGAGGCAGTGGCTGAGGGGCAGTGGCTGTGGGCAGTGGCTGTAAGGGGCAGTGGCTGAGGGGCAGTGGCTGGGAGGGTAGTGGCTGGGGGCAGTGGTGTGGGGGCAGTGGCTGAGGGCAGTGGTTCCTGGGGGCAGGTTTCTGGGGCAGTGGTTCTGGGTGCAGTGGGCTGGGCAGTGGCTGTGGGGCAGTGGCTGAGGGGTGGTTGTAAGGCAGTGGTTGAGGGGTAGTGGTTGTGGGGCAGTGGCTGGAGGGGAGTGGTTCTGGGGCAGTGGCTGAGGGGCAGTGGTTGAAGGGCAGTGGTTGAGGGGGTAGTGTCTGGGGTAGTGGGTTGTGGGGTAGTGGCTGTGGGGTAGTGGCTGAGGGGTAGTGGTTGAAGGCAGTGGTTGTGGGGTAGTGGCTGAGGGGTAGTGGTCGGGGTAGTATGAGGGGTAGTGGTTGTAAGGTAGTGGTTGAGGGGTAGTAATATAAGGTAGTGGTTGTGAGCAATACGTAACCGAACGAAGCACAATTA